GGGGGAGGGGGAGGGGGGGAGGGGGAGGGTCGATGGGTTTGTGTTCAATGCACTGTTTTCCCTCCAGCTTAGCTGGGGGTGCGGACGCCAGGCAAGTGTGTAAATATAGACGGGGGCACTTGAACGATGTGGCAGTGGAGTCTCCAAAAGGCTCTGCTGTCCTCACAGGACTGTGTACTATAGACTTGCCTCAATCTTTCTCTCCTACCATTTTTTATTATTATTATTGTTATTATTAATTATTGTTATTCTAATGATAAATATTCTGACAATGTCTGCGGATGTTAATATGCTCCTGTTAAAGAGAAGATTATATATATTATTATAAAAATCAGGATCTCGCATTTTGGTCTCCATCCGGGGATGGGAAATAAGATTCAATTTGATTTATGGCCATAGTGATTCAGTGATGCAGATCACGCTAGGCATGCAGGGAAAAAACCTCAGTTCGATCCATAGTGTTTCTGACTTTGACTGGAGGAGGATTTTGACTGAAAACCTAGAAAGCCACTACCAGATGTCAGCAAGGCTGAGTTAGATGAACCAATGGTCTCTGACTCGGGTACAAGCAAACTTCCTATCTTCTGTGGCAGAAACAACTTGACCTCTCACATAAAATAACAATTTAATTAAAAGAATCTTTTCTGTGAAGGCCCTGCTGGGGTGTCTGAATGGGAAATAGACATTCTCACAAATATCAGCTGGTGTGAGCAACTCTTAATTTATTATAACGGGAGTTTTGCATGAGCTTCCCCCCTCCCCATTAGAATGCGGCTATTACGCATTGGTTTACTAGGCACCGTCTCCCTGTGGGAGCAGAATTACACACACAACCAATATATATGCCATCCTACATTATGAGGCTGAGTGCAAATGCACTTACTTGTGACAACTGGATTTCTCTCACTCCAGGCAAGTCATCTGTTCAAAGTTTGTTCAGAATTAAGCTTGCCTGAATACAAGTTGTGGCACCCGTAACCGGAATGTCTGATGTAGTCAGTGTCCTGCATCTGGATAACACCTCTGAACAATCATGGATCAGTAGTTTCAGGGGGAAGAGGCAGTAGCTGTGAACGCTTAGGTTTATGTCAAGCAAGCTATATGACAAAGGTGAGGAATATGATTCTCCAGATGTTGAACTCCCAACACCCATCATCTTAGTTGGCAAGGTGAGTTATAAAGATTGATGGGAGTTCTGTGGCCCAGTACCATCCAGGAGACCATACGCTGACCATTCTTATAATAAAGCATAATGTTCAGGTCATAGAGATCACACAAAAATCCATTACCCATTCTGTGAGTGTTCCTTGCTGCATATTGGATTAGTAAATTTGATGAATGCATAACTCATAATGCTTTAAAAAAAATCCTATTTGTGGGTGGGGCTTTAAATATATACCTCTAAATCTAAATGAAATTATTCTGTTCCTCTACAAATATGTAACTCATCCTTAAACATAGATCTATGAGGAATTGCAACCTGAACTATTACTTTTGAACAACAAGTGAAATGTACTAGCAAACTAACAAAACAAATGTACTAGAACAGGAATCCTCAACCTCATCCCTGGGCCGTGGCCCACTACCGGGTGATAGCCTATTTGCAACTGGGTTGCACGAGTGATGGGCCGACGCATACACATGTGCGTAACTCGATTGCGCAAATCAAGTTGTGTGTACATATGTATGCAGAGCATCTTGCCACTTGGTGCAAGTTAAGAAATGCATGCGCACACACCAGTCTGCTGCTTGTGTAGCCCAGTTCTGTCCCTCTCACCGGGCTACAAAGATTGGAGACTGCTGTACTAGAGTAAGTTTTCTTCATGTTCAACTTTATCCCTTGAAAGAGGAGTATCCTAGCTATGTGAAAAGCTTCACTATTTTGCTTTAACTGTAATTAAGTTATTCAGACCACTTGTCCAATCTTTCTGGAGGAGTTTATTCTCTCCCATCCAATTTGCATTTAATCAAAGCAAAAATCCACCCATCCCACCCTTTTCTCAAAAGATTTGCTTGTTGAAATTCTGCAGGCTCTACAGCAGTTAAAATGCACTATTGGGGATCCTCTACTTTCCACCATAGTGCAGATGCTTTTATAATCTCATTTCTGCCCCTGCCCTCTTTTTTCATTCCTTTGGAATGAATTTTTATTTGATACAACTCTCAGCAACTGCTCATCAGTTGATGCTGGGGATTGCACAGCTAAAGTGTCCATTGGTGAAGTAGCCATTTTAGCTCTCCCTGAAATACAATTGCATACCAGAGCTTCCTTCTATCTCCCAAGGACACTTCCACACACCATCACCTTATCCCAACTGCAATTCAATAAACAACAGATTCTTATGAATCATGCTTTCGGGGGGGATGATCTGCATTCATGACGCATCAGGATCCTCCTGAAACAGAATCATGTAAGGATTGAAAATGCCTCCTGCTTCATGATTTTAGTTAAGGGCTATTTTAATAAGGAACAGGAAAATAATTTTTGAAGTGAGCTCTTTTGCTACCTGTATTTACTTCTCTACATAATCATCCCCATTCAGTACATGCTTATTCCAAAACATACAAGCTTCTTAAAGCCATGAAAAAACCCCTGCTCTTATCTCATCACATCCTGTCTTTCCTTTTCACCTCTTCTACTTTGAAACAAGAATTCACTGGTTTTCAGAAGAAAAAGGAACTTTTGCTGCAACCTGACAAGTCACTCAAGGCAACTGTGAAGTTGGATATCATTGTCCTAACCTGTCTGCTACATATAGTCCAGATTTGGCATCAGGGATTAATTGCTATATATCATTAAAAACTCTTGTGTCTGTAACCTTTAACTGGGCAAAATGGTGCATCGCAGGGCAAAACTTTTTCAATCAAGATACCTCAAATAGGCTAACTTACAGAATGCATTCAAAAGCTATGACCTGTGGCTCCTGTGGAATTGAAATTTGACAAATTTTATATAGTAATTTGTAACATAATTATCAAAGAATTTTATCACACAGGGTAAAACACTGCCTGTGGTCAACTCCTCATGTTTGACTGAGCTCAACATGGGCTACTTTCAGGGCAAATACATCTTTGAAACTCTCTATAAATTTTAAAGAACTTTTCAAGTACATTATTGTTAAAGCCATTGAGAAACCTGGTAACAAAATATCACAGAAATGATGACCCAATGGAGGTCATCGCTTGTCTAGTATTTTCCCAGATTGAATAACTATGGAATATTTGTTAGATTCAAATAGAGAGATGAGAAAATACTGTCTGGACTTGGTTGACGAGACAACATGGAATTCTTTTGTATGAATTTTAAGAAATAATACCTTTTATATTTCTGACAACTCCACAGTTAACAGAAAAGCAATACTAAACTTTCCTTTAGTATTGCCTTATCATGAGATGGATAGTTTCATGTTAAAAAAAAGCACTGCCTAAGTGTGGTGAGGGAGGTGGGAGGATGACAATCTTGGCTGTCACTGCAGGATGGCAAACAGTTAAACTAAGATGAAGCGACCAAAAGCCATTTTGTCTTTTAAGTAGCCAACAAATCTAAGGTCTTCTACCTCTTGTAGTTAATGGGAGAGGGAGGTTTCCTGGTCTAGACTGAGGACACCACTTGGTTAGCACCAGTGGTGGGATTCACATTTTTTTACTACCGGTTCTGTGGCCATGGCTTGGATGGGCATGGCAGGGGAAGGATACTGTAAAATCTCCACTCCCATCCCACTCCAAGGGAAGGTTACTGCAAAATCCCCATTTCCTCCTGATCAGCTGGGACTCGGGAGGCAGAGAATACATGGAGCGGGGCCAGTCAGAGGTGGTATTTACCGGTTCTCTGAACTACTCAAAATTTCTGTTACCAGTTCTCCAGAACTGGTCAGAACCTGTTGAATGCCACCTCTGGTTAGCACAATGACTTGCAGGGAAGTGAAAAACAAACACTTCAGGGCACTTTTATAACCAGCCAAAACAGAAACGCTTTAAGAAGTGGTGGTGAAAACTGGTGGTGAAAATGTACAAGTCTGCACCAAGTTGATAGGTAGGAGGAGAGAAGTAAGATTGCACGTTGAAGGGAGCAACTTGGCTTCCTCACATGGTACAAGCTGATCTTCAGCTTCCTCAGGAAAAGTGCCTTTTCCTAATGGTGCATTTTTTTTCACTTAAGACTCACAAGTCTCTTGGGGAAAATCGCCCAGGCAGCTACAAGCAGGGATTAAAGGAAGAACTTCTGCAAATTTAAAAAGAGCAGCAAGTTTCTTGTTTCGGCCACTGTATCAACAACTGAAATTGTTAGGTCGATGACA